TGCTGGGCTGCTAACCAGAAGGCCAGCAGTTCAAAACCACTAGGCCCTCCGAGGGAGAAAGATGAGGCTTTCTACTCCTGTAATGAGTCACAGCCTGGGAAACCCACAGGGGCAGTTCTGCGTGGCCCGGTGGGGTCACCATGAGGAGTTGGCATCGGCTCGATGGCGACGAGTTTGGTTGGGGTTTGGAGCTGGCAGCTGGGCACTTGAAGCGCCACGCCAATGGACTCACAAAAACCAAGCCCACTGCCACCAGCATGATTCCAGCTCCTAGGGCACCTGTAGCGCCTGGTGGGATTGCTCGGTCGGGTTTCCCAGGCTGGACGTCTGCATCGAAGCAAACAGGTTTATCTCTCACCCTCTGAGCGGCCGGTGGGTTCCCATGGCCGATAGGAGCTCGGTGCTTAACCACTACACCAGCAGGGCTCCTTCCAGGAGTTCTCATTTGGCCACCAACCGGGCAGCGTCATTGAGGGACTGAATGGGGTTATGGAGCCTACTGCAACTTTTGCTTCCAGGAGGATGAGCCAAGGCCTGGGCTTTGTTGATGTCATCACTGCTTTGCAAGGCTGAGGCTGGAATGACCCATGTCCTAGTCCCCTCCCTTCCACTCTGGGGGTGGCTGGCTGGGGACAGGGGGAGTCTTCCTCCCCTCCCTCAGTGCCCAGGAGCTCTACGAAAGAGTGGTCCACTCAAGGACTCTCAGGGGCTGCTCCCTACTTGGTCATATCATAAGGGGAGGAGGGTGCAACTTAGAAGCCTCCCCACCCCACCCCCCCAGGTGGTTTGGAGCCCCTGGCCCTGAGTGCCACAGGATAGAAGCCACCGCCAAGGTATCACTGCTCTCTCCTGCAGCTGCGTGCTCCCTCCCCTCCCCGACACTGGCTCCTGGAACCGTAATGGATGTGAAGGATTTCATGTGAAGCGAGCAGTTTCAAATTTCTAAAAGTTAGCATTAAAGATAAACCAGGGAGAAGCACTGGGGCCCTGGGGTCACACAGGCCCTCAGAAGCAGCTCCGGATGCGTCTTGCCAGAGGCTCCAGCCAGTCACATGAATTCTGGAAGCTGTCTTCTCCAAAGTAAATTCCCACGCCTGTCTTGCAAGAGTGAGCGAAAAGCCACCCTTGCTAGGGTGGGGGTAGGCAGGGGGAGCCAAGGAATGAGTTCCAGCCCCCTGGCTTAGGGACCCAGAAGGAAAGTCCTCTTGGGAACAGAATCCATCAGCCCCCTGTCCCCACGCTATCACCACTTAGCTTGGAAGGTTGGGAACATTCAACTTAGAACAAGACTTAAGTAACAACCAACCAAATACGCTGCATCAAGTTGATTCCATCCTCTGATATCAACCCTATGGGACTGGGCAGATCTGCCCCTGTGGGTTTCTGAGACTATAACTCTTTGTCAGAGTAGAAAGCCCTGCCTTTCTCCTGAGGAGCGGCTGGTGGTTTTGAACTGCTGACCTTGTGGTTAGCAGCCCAACTTGTAACCACTACGCCACCAGGGTGCCTTAAGTTACCACTTGTGACTAAAAAGGAAACCTTACATTCATTAGGGTGTTATTGGAGAAGAGGAGTGAAGGGAAATGAGATTCTAATTAAGTACCTCAGATGTGCCAGCACTTCCCCCAACAGAACAGAAATTGGGACCAAGCAAGGAATGTTTTCCTGGTTGGAAGGGGCCTAACCTGCCTATGTGCAGGTGTGGGGCTTCTGTAAGCACCCCTCCCTCACCTCTGAACTGGCGTGTCTGTGTCAACCCAACCCGCACCATGCC